ATTCTCAGCATTCTTCTATATGTCCATATTTCAAAGAAATCAAGTTTCTTTCAAGAAGTGGCATTTATGGTCCAGGTTTTCGAGGCATAAGTGGCATTCGGAAAAATAAGTGTTCTTATGAGCTTTAGTTTAGTTTATTAAAAATAGTGATTGCAGAATCTTTCCAAATTCTAAATAATTTAGAGGTTGCATTGTGAGCAAGGCAAATTCTGCAATTAATTTCATTATCGCATCCTCCTTTATTTGTAAGAAATGATCCAAGGTAAACAATTTCATTCACCCCCTTATAGCCTGCAATTTCCTTAGTCTGTGTCAAGGAACTATCAATTATTACAACTTTCATTTTACTTTTGTTAATCAGCAATTCATATTTCCTGCTATTAGTTAAGTCTTTTCATAATACATTCAAGTTTTGATTCACTGGATGCTATAATAAATGTATTGTCAGCATATCTCAGGTTGTTAACTTTATAGCCCCTGATGGAAATGCCTCTGTCCCAGTTATCTAATACCCTTCTCGTGATTATTTCAGAATAAGCATTAACGAGTAAAGGGGAAAGAATACATCCTTGTCTTACACCAGCTTCAGATGTAAATGTACTAGACATAGTTTTGTTAACTCTTACTCTTGCAGAGTTGTTCTCATATAAATTTCTGATCATTGAAATAAGATGACTCCAGGACTCCCATGTTCTGGAGAGCATGCCACAATTTGTGCCATTTTACACAATCAAGGGCTTTGGTATAGTCTACGAAACAAAGGTAAACTTTGACATTAAATTCATAGACTTTTTCAATGATTTGTCGAGCATTCAAGATTTGTTCACGAGTTCCTTTACCAGGGATAAACCCCGACTGCTCTTCAGCTATTTCAGGTAATAGGAAGGGTTTCAAATGGTTATTAATTATTTGAAGCATTACTTTACTGGCATGGTTAATTAGACTGATAGTTCTGTAGTTATTACAGTCTGTTGGTGCACCGTTTTTTATAAATTGGAATAAATATTGATGTACACCATTCCTCTGGCCATCTCTCAGATTTCCAAATTAAGGAGCAGATTTTATGAAATATATCAACACCCAGCTCTCCCATTGCTTTTAAAATTGTGGAGGTTATGTTGTCAGGTCATGGAGCTTTGTGATTTCTTAATGTATTTATGGCTGTTTCTACCTCTGATTTAAGAATAGATGGTTCAGCTTCCTCTGTCCATCCATTCTGAAGTTGATTATTACCATTTTTTGTCCAGTGTCTTTATAAAGTTTCTCACAATACTTCCTCCAGACATCCACAATCCCCTCTACATCAGTTATGATTTCATCCTCATCATTTTTAATTATTTGTGTACATGGTTTGAACTCCCTTGCTGGATATCTAACTTTATCGTATAGTTTACGAGTCTGATTATTATTTGCATAGACTTCAATTTCATTGCATATACTGTCGATATAATCACTTTTGTCTTTCTTACAAGCTTTTTTGATTTCTTTGTCTAGCTCTTTCTTCTTTTCATCTGTAATGATTGCTGAAGTTAGTAATTTTTTTCCTTTCATCTATTAACTCAAGGGTACTATTTATCATCTAATATATTTTTTTTCTGTGATTGATGTTGTGTGGTGCATTGTTGTATTCCAGCTAAAATCCAACTGTTTGTTTGTGTCCATAAATCATCTGGGTTGTTTGTAAAGGATGGAGGGTCTAAATTTTGGAGAGTCTGTTGTAAGATTGAACTAGTTGGAGTCTCAAGTCTTGGGTTAATTTTTGAATTTTTTGTTGTATGGAGTTATAATGTTACTTGTGCTTTTAGTAGCTTATGATCAGAGTTGCAGAATGCTCCAGGTCTTGCTCTGACATTATTTACTGATGATCTCCATCTTGTTCTTATTAACATGTAATCAATTTGGTTTTTGTATTCACATGTTGGTGAGGTCCAAGTAGAAAGACAACAATAATGGTGTTTGAACATGGTATTAGTTATTGAAAAACTGTTATTGATTGCAAACTGAAGGAGTCTATTTCCTCTCTCATTTCTGGTGTCCAGTCCAAATTGTCCTATAATGCACCATAGATTGTCATCATTTTATGTATTGTCTGTCTTAGCATTAAAATTCCCATTATTATCAATATGTTCTTCTGTGGAATTTTTTGTGATGATATTTTCAATTTGTGTGTACACTGTGTCCACCTCATTGTCTGAAGCAGCCGAAGTGGCCATATAAACCTGAATAATATGAAGTTTTACTGGCATGAAAGATATTGTAATTTTGATTATGCAGTCATTGATAGGTTCATAGTCTTCCACAAATTTTGTTAGGCATTTGTCGATAACAAAGGCCACTCCATTACATCCATTTTTGGTTGTACCTAAAACATATATTGTGTGGCCAATTGTATCAAAATGATAATTTTCTCTCCAGTGTTTCAGAGATGCCACAAATCAGTATATTCTCTCGATTAAGTTCTCTTTCTACTGTGTAGAGCTTTCCAGTCTGTAAAATGCCTCTTACATTCCAAGTACTTAAGGATAAATGTCTTTAGATGTAATTTTAAATTTCTTCCAGATGCATATTTTGCCTGTGGAGCCTGGTATATCCACATGTCTGGTAGCCCATTTCACACCAAATGACCTGGAATCAGTTTGGCGCCTGCTGACCGGATTGCCATGCATATCACCAATACCATCATTGCTCATCATCATCATAATATTCTCATGGGAAAATAATCAGGTGGTTTCCCCATAGCCTGCCTGATCCTTATGTCATTGACCATAACTAATGGTTCCTCCTCCTTAGAGACAAAAGGGGTACCTCTACCAGCAGATCTTGAAACTTCAAGAGCAGATGCTGATTGCTAGTTTTGGTCTGCCCCAGGTATTTCATTTCCTCAGTACCACCCATAAGTGGGAGGCATTCTCCAATCTGCCACCTGGGTAGGCACTCGATGGGGGGCTAGCAATTCCACATGAGTTATCTTTATGAAATTTAAAAAGTACAGTACATATATAGTAGTATGCTTGATATACATTTTATCTGCATACATTTTGATTTTATGCAAACAAAATGTGAAGTAAAGTTTTAAAATAAGCTTCTAAACACAAATACAATATCACATTACTGTTAATGTGTTAAATTTCACATCTATTGTAATTAAACTATGTATATATCATCAGAAATCACCCTCAGTATGAAAATAGCAAAATTCACCAATGTTGTATTTGCCAAGAAAAATGTATCTATGTTAAGTAAAGACTGCTGTTAGAGCTGTGTTAAAACTTGCTGCCATATATAAAGGGATTGCCACAATTAATTTCAGACGTTAATCAAATCCTGTGTTAAGCAAGGGACTTCCTTCCTATATATAGTAGAATCTGCTTATTGTAAGTCACCACTTTGGGATGACTATGCAATAATAACTGAATGATAACATGAACTAAATAATATTATTATTAATTCAGTATGATAAATCCTAAAGAACAATTGTGTGTGATAGCACAAATATTGTAATATTAATCAAGTAAATAAGACTAAGTGTTATAGAAATTCTTTATAGATTTTGATATTTAAACAGTTATAAAAAAAAATGAAGATTTATTAATTAATAGTAATTCATCCAGTGTTCGTCTGCTGTGTTTTACAGTACCATCCTTAATAACAAATAGTGTGTAATTGAAATAAAAAATACCAACAGATTTAAAGTACTGCAAGCATATAATTAAAAAGTTTAAAACTCTTAAGTATGAAAAATTTAATTTTTCAAAATTTTAAACCAAAGTAAATTGTCTCTCTCTTATTGCTCATTGTTTTGCTTATATAAAAGGAATTTAATAAACAGTAGTTAAAAATTGAAATGATTTTTATTGAAATATTTTAAAATGAATTTGAAGAAAATCCAGCTAATAATATGTTAATCAGATTTTTAAGTATGTTTATAATTATAAAAATAAATCTAAAATTTTAAATACAAGAAATTCCTGACTTTAAGACCTAATGCATTCCTTAAAGTGTGTGAAAGTCAAATACCAGAAACAGAAGTACATATTATAAAGAGCATTTCATTTTAAAGAACTAAAAGGAGAAACTATTAAATCTCTTGTCAAGATAGGAAAGTTTTAACTTTTACACTGAAATCTATATATCCTGAATTCTAAGATTTACTATGAGTTTTGAATCAAAGTTGAAGATTTATCTTTATAGAAAGAGAAATTTTTAAGTAATAGTTTCATTAAGTTTTGTTAGGTAATAATACAAGTTGGAAAAAATCAAGTGACAAAATAGATAATGTTTGGTATTTTTATTTTCCTGCTCTTCTGCATATACAATAACTTTTTGTTTTTAATGCTGCATCATAATATTGTCTTGAAAGTATTTCAGATGTTAAGAGTTTAAATTAAATGCTTGTTACTAGCAAAGTTTATTTGAACTGATGTGACCATTGAACAGTAACCAAAAACATATTATTGGTGCATAACACATCATCTAGTTCATTCGTGATGACTTCTTGATTGTCGTGTTGGATAGCGAATGTAAAATGCCATTGATTCTAACACTCATCTTGAGTTTGGACATGAAAAAATGGATAAAAAAATGTGCATCTTAGAATAAAAAAAATAAAATGTTACAATGTATTAAACATTACTTAAAATGCTAAAAGCATATTTTAAACTGAAACAGACAATAAAAATTAATTTTCACAAATGATTTTGATGTTACTGAAACCTAAACTGGTAGAAAGTTCAGTGGCTTGAAATTTTTTTGTTTGTTGTTGTTGGCTGAAAATGTTTGAAAGTCTAAATTTGGCATACAAAAAGTAATTTAGGGTTATCAAAGTATTGCATAGAAAAGAATAAATTGTCCAAATGTCAAGTGTCTGTTAAGAACTACCTGTATAATTTCTATGGATTTAATTTGTAAACTAAATATATTTATTGGATTTATTAATAATTTTCTCTATAAAAATTAAAAAGTAAACTGAATATGAGTAAATTTTTAAAATTTATTTACAGATATTTAAAATTATATGGAAGAAAGTTTTCCAAAAATGACCATATACAGTTGATCAAACTGTTGTACAAAATCATTACAATTCCAGATTTGGAGTTGAACATTTTACAGCATGTTGTTCACATATTGACATTGTTATTGAAGTAAGTGATATCTTATTTAATATTTTAGAAGAAATTTGTATTTTTAATTTATTAAAATTTTCAGTTGCTGTTTAATAAAATACTATTAATGTCTCATATTTAAACAGTTATTTTTATTATCCATTAAATTTTTGTTAAAAAAGATAAATTATTACATCAGATAAATATTATCATTTCAAGTGATTATAGATTAATTTTGCATATTAAAATTGTTAGTGTATAAATTAGTCCACATGACAGATTTTTAGCTTAGACAAATAATTTATATTATCATTAGCAAGGAAATTATTGTCAGAAATTCCGAATTTATAGATTATGATCTTTAACATTAATGTGAATTCAATAAAATTAACAATTTTTTGTTTTTTTAGTTTCGTAGTATGTTAATTGATGGCTAGAAGGCTAAAACTGTAAAAATGTAAGCTTGCCATTCTGGGGATCAGAATTTGTAGTTCAGCTTGGATCCTCAAAAATTTTCATAGTGGTCAGGCCATATTGGGTACTGTTCCTTGCTATTCAGCTATCCCATTGAAGGCCAGCTGAATTTGTTATGGGCCAGCCTGAAATTAGCTCTTCTTAATGCCTTTAAGACTGGGAGTTTAAAAAAAAAAAAACAAAAATAGTTTGTTAATAAGAAAGTTTTAGGATTTAATTAAATGGTTAATAATATAATTACATTTATAAATTAATATTTACATTGATAAAAATAATTTGATTATTGTTAAAGATATAAAACAAACTTTTTAAAATGAATCTTTTATTTAAATTATATACACAATGTTATAATCTAGAATCATGACTTGAAAGTTTGGTCTATAGTTAGACATATCACCATATGTTGGTAAGATTAATAATTAATAACTTTGAAATAATTTAAGTAAATATACATGTGTATGTAAAACCAATGATTTTGAGTGGGATTTAACTCCCATTCAAATTGTACTTTTTCAAAGCTAAATAAATTTATGAATTATTAAATAACTTAATTAGCCCAGTTCTAATCCTAAAAGTTAATGTGATGTTAACAAATCTTTACAAAAAACATATAATGTACTGTATTTGATAAATTATTGTAAAACTCAAAACTTTTTGAAATTATTATTATTATTATTATTTTTTTTTTTTGAAATTTTTATCAGTTTATTTATTTCAAGAGACATTTTAAATTTACTTTAGGGATGATTTTAAAGTTTTAAAATTTAGTTAGGCTTTATAATAAAATCAATAAAGAAAATAGTTCTATTTTGAAATATTTAAAATCTTAAAACAGAAAAAAGGAATTACTTTCAAGAGAAGATCTTGAATTACCATGGAGACCTTTATATGAATTATATGAAAGAACAATGTATTCTCCATTTGAACGACTAGGAATGTTTCTATTACCATTGTAAGTTGCATTATTATACCAGTCTGCTATATTATATTATTTTGTTATATATATATGCATTTACAAAATATTAAAATTGTTTTACACGTTTTTTTCCCAGAAACTTAGATGCAGGTTTGAAGGGATTGATTCAAGCATGTAGAATGTAAGATTTTATTTCAGCAGAACTAAAACAGTTAATCTGTATGCTAATTTACTTAAAATTTATTTAAAATTATTGTTTTTTACAGCTATTTTTCAGTTGATGCTACACAGGAAATGCTTTCAGAATGGTATCCTCTCATCTGTCCATTTGATACATCTATGAGCAAAGCTATTTCCTATTTAGAATTATTTCTTCCAACTTGCTTGCCACCCGAGCATCATGATAAAGGATTCAAGTAAGAAAAAAATTACTTATTCTTTTAATGAATTACCACTGTAATGTAAGTAAAATTGCATTCATTGTTTTTGATAAAAGAATGCCATAAAATAACTCAGAATGAAAATATATTTAAAAATATGTCTAATAGTTAGTTTTTTAAAAATTTAAATGTTTATTTTTTGTATTATTGAAAATTTTATAAGAGGAGATAATGTTTTTTATTTACTAATATTTAGTGGATATTAAATTTTATATAAATCTGTCTTTAAGCAAGGAATACATACATTCCAGGCCTTCATCTGTAATTTTACTTTATTTAGCTTTGTTGGAGAATTTTATATCACAATTATCTTATCCAGAAACAGTGATGAATTATCCTGAGTGGTTACAAAATAATTTTTATAATTGTGGATTATTTTGCTTTTATGAATTTTATATTATCTGCTAAGTGCATTAGGAAATATAAGCAATAAAATAATTAACAAATGATAAATCAATTGAATCTACATTCTTATTACCATATGAATAGTAATGCAGAAACTGTCTGGAAGTCTTATATGATAATTTTATTTGTAAATTTCTTCAGTAGACACTGTTTGGATCTTACTTGTTTTGTTCAGTTTTATACTTAAAAAATTTATTTAAGAGGAACTAAATAAAATATTTAAATGTTAAAATAACACAATTACATATATATTTTATATGATATTTTTGGCTGTAATAAAAATGTTTGCTGTAGGAGGCATTATACTTTGATAATTTTGAAAATGTGAAAACAATGATTTGTGCTTTATAGAAAATCTATGTGATAACAAAAAAGTTGCATTTATTTGAAAATAAACAGTTTACAAAATATAAAACATTGATAAACCTAATTCATTTAATAATAATTTGAAAAATTTTAGATTGAAACTGATCAATGAGAGTGATGATTTTCTTAATGATGACAGTTTGGTTAATGTATTAGAAAAATTATATTTTATTTTCAAAGTTACATAGAAGTTAATGTTAATGCAAATTTTATACAGTATTCAGGTGGAATTGATATTATTTGAAAATATTACTTTATCATTCTTCTGTGTTAACATTGTACAATGGATGCTGAGTATGAGTTATAAATCTAAGACATTTCTTATATTTAATTTTTTTCAGCATTTAAGTGTTTCAGACAGATTGGCCAACACAATTCAAACAAATCTTTATTCAATAATCTTTATCAAAATTTTTAATGCTCTTAGTGCCCTCAGATTGGAAAGAGTCAAAAATGGAAAAAAGAAATTTTACTTTTGAATTAATTGGAAAATAATAATTATACCAATAGAATAAGAATTTTAAATAAAATCTTACATATGAAATTACATTTCATGTAAAATGATAGAAAATATTTTAAGTTTTTCAAAAAATCTCTTACTACTATAATAAAATGCAGTTTAACCTGCTTATAACGTCATCCATGGGACTGGCAATTTTTTGACGTTATAACCGAGTGTCGTTATCTGCAGTGTCATAATTTCAGTTCCATAAAAGTATCAATCTGTTTAAGAATCTATTATAAAATTCATTAATTTAATATCGTATGTATAAAAGTGCAAAGTAAATATTTAAATCAACTTTATTTACATTATTATGTCTAAATTTACAATGATGTAATTAAAAATTTCAAAAATTATTTTTTATAAGAAATTTTTATTTGTCAAGTTTCGATAATGGTGGCACTTTCGGTTTTAACGCCTGGATGATAATTTTCTCGTTTCTTGCTTATCTATCAATGGACATGAAGTCCAATATATTTCACTTTTAGGTTAAATTAATGTATATCAATTAAAAAAAACAATAAAAATATTCACTTAAAAAAAGTCAGTTATTTTAGATTGTAAAATACAACACGAGTATGAGAGCTATGCAGACTAACCCACTGTCACGTCGTTTAAAGGGGTGGCGCATCTCACCCCACCGAATCAGGTGGTGACAGTACCACCCACAATTGTTCTAGGAAGGGACTCTGACTGAACACGTAGTATTTTCTTTGATAAATAAAATTTATAATTTAATTTTGTAAATTTAAAAGTGCTTCAAATATGACGTTAAAACAGGGTTTTATGTCGTTACAAGTGGGTTTTTTAACATTATCTAGTATAGTAAAATCGTGGGACCGATAAAAATTAGACGTTATATTAGGGATGTCGTTATAATCGGGTTAAACTGTATATGTAATTATTAAAATATAAATATCATTAAGATATAAATTTTTAAAAATATTTTTACTTAGTTATATGCACAGACAATAACAAATTTTATTATAGAACTTTACTCAAGAAAAGTTACTGTAAATAATGTCTGCATAAAATTTTGTTTTGATGATGATAGTCTATATTTTAAATATAAATATATATAATAATTTATTTATTCAGGTTATGGATGCCTGATTTAATGAAAATATGGCAATCATGTTATAATATTAATCCTTGGGAAAATGTAAGTTAATATGTTTCTTTTTAATTACAGATAGTTTAGATAAGTTATGTATTTATTTCTTAAACTGTTTCATTCTATTTATAAATCTATTTTTGGATGAGGAAAGTCAAACTATAAAACTATCAAATCTACTTACTATTGTACATTACATGTATATTTATAAGGAATGAAAATATTTCTAAATAAACTTATTTAAATGACAATTTAAATATTTACATTTTGTTGAAAAATGTATATTGTCTAAGATTAAAAGCCAGTACCAGCCAGGAGTAGTATCAAAGTTTTATAAGTTTTCTAATAGCAAATTATTATTATTATTTTTTTTTTTTTGCAAATATCTTTATTTCAAAAGGAATATTTTGTTTTATTCAATTAGAAATTCAGAGCACTATTGAAATATAATTATGAAATTAACACACCACCTCTTTTTGTTAAATTTTTTAAAATACAGTAGAGCCTAGAAAACTCGGCACTCGATAACCCGGCACTCCGGATAACTCGGCCACACCCTGGCAGGACAAAAATACCCTTAGATACTTAATTTTCATCATAGACAGCTTTATGCCTCATAAAGTATTTTTCTGAGGTCTGTCTTATCAGGTAAATTACTGTACACAGTGTATTCATTAATTTTCATTTTCATGTAGTAAAGGCTCTATAAAGTATGTACTTTTCCTTTGTTTAAGGTAAAGTAGTAAAGGCTCTATAAAGTATGCCTTCATAAAGTATGTACTTTTCCTTTGTTTAAGGGTATTTGGGCAGTTTATTCTCTGTTGTATTCTCAAGCAAACAATACATACAAGTACAGTACAGTATTTTCTGAGGAAACACGCATACTTATCCTTTTTTAACCCCATTCCCGATAACCCGGCATTTTCACAAACTCGGCCACCCTTCGGTCCACATTAGGCCGAGTTTTCGAGGCTCTACTGTAATGAATAAATTTAGGTAGTTTTATACTGAAATGAAAAATTTTGATAATATAAAAGAGATAAACAGCTGATAAATATATATTTTTTTATTTAGTTTGCTCAATTTATACTTATTTAGTATTTTAATTTGTTTTATGTCTAAAATACAATTTATTGAATATTGATAATGGGTGATGAAGACAATAAAAACAGATATGAAATTTAATTGCAATAAAATATGTTTAAACTATTTGTAAGCTAAACATTTTAATGTAGTAAGTAAAAATTAATTAAAAATTGATCATGATATATTATTAAACAAAAATAATAACAGTTAAATGTGTTTAAATGAAACTTTCTATGAAAGAAAATCTGAATTCGTACTAAAACTGCTTATTTTTATTTAAGTTAATTATTAATTAATAAACTTAATTATTATTATTATAGTAAAAACTTTTACATGTACCAGAATTTTATAACAAAATATAATTTCTATTTTATTACAAAATATATTTTTAGAAGTTAATAAAAAAGTTATTTTAAATCTGTTTATATTAATTTTGCTTAAAAAACTACTTACTTTTATTATTTAGCACTTGGTATGGTTATTTGCTCGCCTAGCTAATGATAACATTGGTTATATTGATTGGGAACAATATATTCCAACAGTGAGTATTAATTACTTATAAAAAAATTTTTAATGTAACTAATTAGAATGATTCATAATAGCTAATGAATGTATTTTAGAAATGTAAAATGTATCTTATAAGTAATCTTTATATTTATTTATTTATTAAAGAACTAAGCTAATTTGTGCTATAAAATATAGATTACTTGAATTTTCTAGATAATTATTGAAATACCTGAATATTATGTAATTTCTTTAAACTGATTTCCAAAAATTTTGGAATTATTATTATTCTGGACATTTTCTTGTCTTTAATTTACTTAATTTAAAAAAAAGGCTGATTTGACTTTTTTATTTTATTTTATTTTTTTGATGTTTCTAGCCAAACATTTGTATCTAAATTATTTATCAGTCTTATAATAGTCAATAATAATTTTGCACTATATTTGGAAACTTCAGATGTATTGAGTTGGGTGTTGTTTGTATGTGTGTTTATGTATATACATTACATGCATGCACAAGCATAAATTTATTTTTAAAGTCTACATGAAAATATTTTTTTGTATAACTTGATATATAAACAGAACAACATTATAAGTTAGAAGATCATTTTTCCTACTTTATTTAATCTTCATCAGTTAAACAATATTTGAACAGAATGATCAGTACAACTTTGAAAAACATTCTAGGAATTAAAAAAAATCATAAAATTTTTAAGTTGCATTCAAAAAGAAAAATTATACATTATAACATTAATATTCCACATATTTATTGTATTTTTAAATATATTTACTGTAGATGGATGAAAATATTTTTAAGATATTTACAGAAATAAGTTAAAATAATTTTAGATGTATTCAGATAGAGGTGTTACTTGATTTGTTTGAAAGGATGCATATTTTTTAAAATTTCAACATGTTCTGGTAAACATACGTTAAAAATTTGGATTGAAGAAAACACTGAAGAAATACAAATTGCTCATCTTGTATGTGTATATGTATATATATGTAGTTATCATAAAATTTATCAGACAGGCAAGGCATAAAGGGCCTGGAGAGAACACTGAATTCTTTAAAGTTCAGAGAAAAAACATTACATTTGTGGCATGAAAGTTTGCAAAATTTTAAAATTTAGAGTGCAAAAAGTAGGCCCTTATATCTATATATAATTGTCTACCAGTGGTGGGTGAATAAAATCATTGAACCAAAGCAATTGGTTGCATATTTGTGTCTGACTGACAGATTGTATTCATGAAGTTTTCAAAGTCCCAGTTTCCCATTGAAAGTCCCCAAGAGTCATTTCCCTTGACAGATTTACTCACATTTTGCATTACCATATCCCATCAAATGAAACCAACCATAGTTTATCATTAACAATAAAATTATAATAGTTAATTAGTCATTAAATACTATAGTTTGTATATAATATTTATTGATGTATTTGTGAGAATACGACAGGCAAATTGCCCTCTAATTGTTGGGTCATGAGACTCGCTCACTTCGTCACTGGATGGCTTTTATAGAATGCCGTCGGGATTGTAGAATCCTTCTGACATCAGGACTGACGCCAGATAGGGTAGAAGTTTTGTGCCCTAACTCGCAATGTTCCGTGTTACGTTTAAACAGAGGGCTATATTCTATCGAGCGGAGAGGACTTGCGGGTAAGTTCCGATCTTAGCGAGGTGAATGTTCGTACTTAAATAACTGAGGGAATCAGCAGGTTAATAACAATAAAGAATTTAATGTATAAAATAAAACAAAGATATACATAAATTGAGACACTTAATATAATCTATCACGAATCAAACTGTAAATCTAAGATACACCTTGAAATAAATAAGAGAGTTTACAGTTAGTAAAAATAATGATAATATCTCAGTAGATCAAACTTGGAGAATGTGAGATGAATGTGGGACTATCTTCTGTTGCTATTCTTATGGCAGCTTCCTTCTGGTAATGAATTGTGGCTAATGTGGCAAGTTTTTCTCATCATGGACCGCTGTCAATTATGGCAATGTCGGGTTTCTATTGACTGCTCCAACTCGAATTTTTCCCCTATTTATTCTCAGTTCTCACCAATCAGATTGTAGGATTCTGATTGTCTGACTGGACACATATCTGATGCAAGAGACAGATGTTTTTCAGATAAATTAGATAAGAACTTTCTGAGGGAAGTTCTACTTCCCTTTCCCACACAAAACATCAATTTTTTGCTCTATTTTATACCTGAAATATTACATAGATATTATTTATCAAGTGGGAAATCTAAGACTGTAGTAAATAAGATGAATAAATTATCAAATAAAATGGTTTTCTGCTTTCATATTCTCACATATTACGTATAATTTATTACAGTAGAGCATTGATTATCCGAATATCAATCAACCAAAATGCCAATTAACTGAAAGCTCTCCAGTCGACAAATTTAAATTTCTGCTAGTGCAGTGGCACTGCAATCTTTGGCTATGTCTTGGGCTACTCCAATATTATTTTTGTTGGTGTGCGTGTTTTAGCTGGCAGCACTGGCATGAACATGAGAGGATACTTAAGGACATGCTAGGATTTGAATGAATTTCAACATGGGAGAGGTTAATATATTTTTTCATACATAATTAGTTATCCAAAAAATCGATTTTCTGAAAAATTCCAGCCCCCAATTGATTCAGATAATCAATGCTCTACTGTATTTATATTATATTAAAATTTATGTACAGTACATATGTTTATGTTCAGAATAGTATTAAAATTTTAAAATGAAATTACTTATTAATATTTTAGATATTTACAAGACTTTTATACAGTTTTAATTTACCTGGAAGTACAAACAAAACACAAGTTAAAATTTTATTAAATACAGGAATTGATACAAATGCTGTTGTTATTTGGATTGTTTCAATGTTGGTAAGTTTAAATGTTGAAGATTTATATTGCTTAATTATTTTTTATTGATAGCCTGTTAAATATTTCAGCATTTATTAGTCACTAATTTATTTAAAATATTTTATTTTTTTGAAGGGTGGGAAAAGTAGTTGTCAAAAACATATTGCTCATTTTTTCAAGGCTGTAGAATCATATTATCATCCTTCAAATAATGGAAGATGGATGGTAAGTATATATAAAGTTAATTTTTTAAGCTCTAACTTTTTTAAATTATGAGTATATAGTAATGTAGAAATGAAACATTTTAAAATAAAGAAAATATTTTTATTAGTAGATTTTTGAGTGTTTTTTAATGAATGAATGAATGAATTTCTTTAATTTTAGATGAAGTTACAACGACTACTGCATAAACTTCCAACTGCCTTAGTGAAACGACTTAATAGGTTAGTATTTTTTATAAATTCAATTTTTAACAATGTATTATTTTACTTGTATTTAAATTAATGATTTGTTTTTTTTTAATTTTAATACAATTGATAATTTTTTAAATAGTGCATTCTCTTTTACTTTAATTTAATTGAAATAAATAAAATTTACCATTTTTTCAAAAGATAAATGTCTTTGTTTGTAAATTATCAAGAAATAATACTAATAAATTTCACTACAGCATTGGGGAGCAATCATACAACACACAAACACCTCTCTTCCATGACCCCTTAGTTGTTATACATATAATGCAGAACAAATGAAGTCATTTGAAGATTTATGAATAATTACTTTTTATGCCTTAGAAAATTTTTAAATTTACTTTCCTATTCAAAATTTTGCAATTGCAGTATAATTGAAGTGTTGAGGTTTAGTAAACTGAAGATATTTTTTTCTATAAAATAATAACTCAATACATAAGAAAAGAATGTGATAATTTGATTATGCAAAACTTTCCAAAAGATTTTAGATATTTCAAAATCATAGTTTAATAATTTTATTTTCTTAAATTAAGGATATTTTGATGAATGTGCAGCATTACAGATTTCAACAATTCTGTACTATATCAAGTTACTTTTTAATAATTTTGTTAGACATCATAAAAATTATCATTTTTGTGAATTAATATAAAAAGATCTGTTATGATTTAAATCTGTTTTGGAGTTGGCAAATTGCCGTATAAAACTATAATGTGCACTGCTGGCCATTAAAATTGCTACACTATGAAGGTGGCATGCAACAAATGTGAAATTTGCATGAAAGGTACAACATGCTTGGATATTCAAATGATAAGCATTTCAACACATGCTCACAAAGCAGGTAGGAGTAAAGCCATATACAGTCTATATAAAAGAGAAGATTGTAAAGTGGGTTCATACAGAAATCACATTTGCATGTTGGTTGCCTGTGTAAAGGTTTTGTTATGTCTTGTTGTGTGAGGAGGAGGAATGCCTACCAGCACATGCCAGAGTTTGATCATGGTAGAAGCATAGCCTACGGGGACTGCGGTTTATTGTTTCATGCTATTGCTGATCGTGTTGGTTGTGATTCCATGACTGTCACAAGAATATGGAATTGTTGAGTCCAGGAGGGTCATACAGAATGCCATGTGGGATCTGTGTCCTCTGGTCAGTAACGCCCAAGAGGACAGACATCTTTTCCACATGGCCTTGCAGGACCATACTGCCACATCACTTACCCTGAGTCAGGAATTTGGGTTATTTTAGAACAACAAGTGTCTGTACAGACAGTGCAACGATATCTGCAGCACCATGGATTATCAGCTGGGCAACCATTGCTGCAGCTTCTCTTGATGCTGCAGCAGAGACAGGCATGCCTACAATGGTGCATTCAATGACAAATATAGATGCAGGACTGGAGTCATGTCATCTTTTCAGATGAAACCCGGTTCTTTGTACAGCATCATGATGGCCATATCCATGTGTAGAGGCACTGAGGGAAATAATCATTGCCAGTTTGTATTCATCATCATCTTACATGTGCAGCACCTGGAGTGATGGTATGGAGTGCCATTGGGTACATATTCCAGTCACTTTTTGTTCGCAGAGCCGGTAATTTAGACAGTTGCCATTACATTTCTGATGTGTGAAGACCTGTTGCTGTGCACTATGTTTGAGGCCTACATCACGCTACCTTTCAATAGGATAATGCACAACTGCATGTTACCCATGCTGTTCTGACTTTTCTGAATACAGAGAGTGTTTGACTTGCCCTGGCCAACACATTCTCCAGATCAGTCACTAATTGAGAATGTCTAATTAGTGGTTGCTGAGAAACTGGCACACCACCACTTGCCAGCCATTATGATAGATGAACTCTGGCATAGAGATGTAACTACATGGATGCTGTACATGTATCTGTCATCCAAACTTTGACTTGATGCCCAGCCAGATTACAGTTGTTATTGCTGCCAGAGACGGCTGCTCTGGGTACTGATGGCTACATGCTTTGTATCTCAAAATTACATATCAATATTTGAAGTTAAGACTATTTACAAAAATATATACATTTTTAAGTCTATCTTTTAATCCTTTAACACAACCACAGAAGTAACAGTTATATTGGTTTTAAAGAAACCTTCATTAAACAAGACAAATAATAATAGGTAAAAATTCACAAAGTTAAAAATGATCAAACGTCAGCCTTTTATTTGAGGATCTGATGCTTAGGGTCTTAGCCCTTATGACTGTCACTGTGTTTTCTTTTTATAGATTAATCTTTGTATTTAGAAAGTTTATTTAAGCATTAAGTAAATTTTTAAGTGTTATTAAACTTTTTTTTAAATGTAGGTGAGCAATCATTTGTAAAATGACAAACTAAATACAGTGATATCTCAGTACTTGAACAATTCACTATTTGAACACCAATTCTGGGATAAAGTCGGCTCATACTTGACTGAACAAACATGACTCTCTAGAAAAAATTTTTGATTAATAACATTTTTATTTCATTATCCATAAAAAAATTTTTATGATAAAAATAAAAAGTATGAAGATGTTGCTGATACTTCTGATCAAGATCAACAGAAAAGCTGAGATGACTATAATATTTTGTAAAAAGAAAATGCCTTCATTGAACTAAAATTAATAGTATACTTTTGCTAACTTACTGAACTTAACCCTATGTTTTGCATTAGTCTTTGTTTTATATAGCATGGATTCGCATAACAACACTTTTTTGGAACGTATCTACAATGTTATGCAAGGGGTACCTGTATTTTCATTTATCTGCAAATCTTTTTTTAATTTACATTGTTTTGTAGGTCTAGTTATTAGCTCTGATATCAAAATATTTCCTACTAGCAGACCCCGCCACGCGTTGTTGTGGCTCAAAATGTATCTATTATAAATGTATAACACTTTCCCCGTGGGGGGAAATTTTTCAAAAAATTTCTTCTTAGTATACATTCTCTTGACGTACCCTATTAAAACGCAATCAAAAACACAAAAAACCGCATCTGAAATAGTATAAATAGAAGCAGAGTTCTTTACTGTAAGCCTTAATCCTGTCCATCTCCCCCCCCCAGTGCAGGAATTTCGACACGTATATTATATAAAAACACGTGCGTATTCAAATGCAGCGTTGTGTCAAAATTTCAATGGAATCGGTAGGAACAAACAAACATTACATTTTTATTTATATAGATAGATAGAAGATGAACTGCTTTAGTTCATTTTCACAGAAAAGTGTAATGCCTCACAGAAAAGCAAACTTAGGGTCATACTCGTAGCGCCATCTGTTGGAAATAAAAGCCTTAACCTAGATTATATCTTTTAATTTATATGAACATTTATTGGAATAATATATAGCCTATGTCCACCCCGAGGTTCCATTCTAAATATTGGTGAAAGAATTTTTGAAATCGGATGAGTGGTTTCGAAGATTACCTGCTACATACATACATACATACATACATACATACATACATACATACATACATAACCTCTTTATAATATTAGTATAGATAGAATCATTNTTGTTGTGGCTCAAAATGTATCCATTATAAATTTATAACACTTCCCCTGTGGGGGGAAATTTTTCGAAAAATTTCTTCTTAGTGTACATTCTGTTGACGTATCCTATTAAAACACAATCAAAAATGCAAAAATCCACATCTAAAATAGTATAAAAGAAAAAGTGCCAACACCATCAACGACCACAACACACCCCCCTAACGATAGATTAGTAGAATTTAGATTTCAATTAATTTTCAGTACAGCTTGAAAAATTAAAATTAATATCATAAAGAAGCAGAGTTCTTTACTGTAAGCCTTAATCCTAACCATCTCCCTTCAGTGGGGTTGAATTTCAACACGTATATTATATAAAAACACGTGCGTATTCAAATGCAGCGTTGTGTCAAAATTTCAAAGGAATCGGTAGGAACAAACAAACATTACATTTTTATTTATATAGATAGATAGAAGATGAACTGCTTTAGTTCATTTTCACAGAAAAGTGTAATGCCTCACAGAAAAGCAAACTTAGGGTCATACTCGTAGCGCCATCTGTTGGAAATAAAAGCCTTAACCTAGATTATATCTTTTAATTTATATGAACATTTATTGGAATAATATATAGCCTATGTCCACCCCGAGGTTCCATTCTAAATATTGGTGAAAGAATTTTTGAAATCGGATGAGTGGTTTCGAAGATTACCTGCTACATACATACATACATACATACATACATACATACATACATACATACATAACCTCTTTATAATATTAGTATAGATAGAATATTTTTAACACAAAATTGACAAATGCAAATTTGTATATCATTTTTTGTGTCTTGAAAACACTGCTTATGTAAGCATGTTTTTAATTTTTATTTATTATTTAACTATGCAGGGAACGATATCGTCAACACACCTGGGAGACACCAATACCTGACAGTTGTAAATTAACAGACAAAGAAGTGACAGAATTTGTAAAAAGCATGAACCATGTTGTATTATTATCTATGTTTAGTAAAGGAGGAAGTACTGATTGTGCTTTGGCACTTCAAAACTTGTCAATTTTATGCCCTGAGGTGGTCATTCCTCCAGTGTTAGAAAGGTAAATACATGGAATTAAGTAAAAAAAACAATAGCAGTGAAATTAGTTTGTAAATTTTGTAATTTTTTCAGGTTGTATTCTTCATTGGAAACATTGACTGAGCCTCATTGTCTAACAGCTGCTATGCATTGCATTGTCGCAGTTGCCAGAACACTTGTTAGAGGTGGTAGTCGCTATGCTGAAGGACCAACTCATGTCATACCCCTTCTGATAGGTTCATTACCAGGAATTGATCCAAATGATATTAAAAAATGCATAGTAATATTTGTGATTAATATGAAAAATAATTGGATTTTTGTATTTGAATTTTATTAATTTTAAAATATTTTTTAGGTTACTTTTCAATTTCTTTCCACGTTTACATCTATTATTACTATTGTTGATTGTTCAAGAGCTCTAAACTACAGAAATGATCTTACTGAGGTATGAAAATAACTTTGGAAAATTAAATAGCTTATGATTAATGAAAATATAAATAAAATGTTTTTCAGATTGAACAAGAAATTTGCTTTGCTTCAGTACAGTTTGAAGATTTTGTACTTCAGTTCATGGATAGGTTATTTTAATTGTAATATAGGGCATTCAATGACAAATATAGATGCAGGACTGGAGTCATGTCATCTTTTCAGATGAAACCCGGTTCTTTGTACAGCATCATGATGGCCATATCCATGTGTAGAGGCACTGAGGGAAATAATCATTGCCAGTTTGTATTCATCATCATCTTACATGTGCAGCACCTGGAGTGATGGTATGGAGTGCCATTGGGTACATATTCCAGTCACTTTTTGTTCGCAGAGCCGGTAATTTAGACAGTTGCCATTACATTTCTGATGTGTGAAGACCTGTTGCTGTGCNTACTAAATTAAATTACTTGATCATGCCAGTTTAAGTTTCACTTATATTTGATATTTTTTTTTTTTAAATAGGTAAATCCTGAACAGGCATTGAAAGCATTTGTTCCTCATTTTAGTAAGCTTATTATGGCTCTTACCGCTACTGAAGATGTAACTAAAGAAGAAACACTTGATAATGAATTACTATTTAGTCTTCTTTTGCTTTCAGAGGTACTTGTTTTATTTAAGGATTTATATATAGACCTATATTAATGATGGGACAATTAATCGGAATCAGGAATATGAAAAATCTGACATTTTCCGGGAATTGACAAAATCTCATCACAATTTTCGATTCTTAAAAATGATTGTTCCACATTTTAAGAAAATTAATTATTTGTTTTACTCAAAGATTAAAAATTTTTAGAATTAAGATATTAAAAATTAAATATTAGTTTATTGGAAACTTTCATTTCGACAAAGCAGAGGGTATGCAATGCCCCCTATACACAAGGTGACACCTGTCACAGCAGACTCTAACCATATTCTTAACTATCTACATTTTAGGGGAGATAGTGACTTTAGGATTGTTAATTTCAAGTTGAAAACTCTAGAACTACTTTTTGATTTGAAACATTCATTTTGAGTTGTCACATTTTTAAAATCGCTTATATCAAATTAACATGCAATTATCAACAAATATTTTCATACATCATTTGGTGTTTCACTAAACAGGAAGTGACATAACATTTTTAAAATTGCTTATAACTCAAAATGAACATTTCAAATCAAAAAATGGTGTAAAGGCCAGAATTTTAATTAATATTTTCAATAATTTTTATTTATTTAATTTTGCCTGCATTTTTTAATCCTTAATTCCAATTTTTTATATTAATTGCAACCATTTTTTTTCTTTTGCGACATGACTAGAAATTGTTCGTGTTGTTTTGCACAAATTTTAATTTTTTATAATTTTATGAATTTTTGTTTCCTAAATTTACATCTTGAATATATACAGCATATAAAATATTATATAAGACTTAAACATGGCCATTTAATTCCTTCAAGTGCCAATAAAGAGTGTTGTTTCTGAATTGAGATACAACCATTGGAATAGAAAGTTCTTTATACACTTCTGTCTTTATGAATGATTTTTATTTCATAAAAAAAAAATGAAAATACATTAATTTTACAATGTGAACAAAAGTTGAAGCATTTACTGAGAAGTTTTTAAATTAACATTGTAAAGTAGTTTTGTTGTCATTATTCTATTAATTAAGAATAATAAATTTTCTATTTTAGGTTGTACGTTGTGATGGTCGTCAAGTGTTGAAATACAAAAATGAATTAGAAAAAGTATTATATCGTACTGTATCTTTGAATTCACGTCAAGGATATTTATTGGCAGGAGCCTTATTTCGTCACATTTTGAGAAGTATGGTACTAGTATATCCATTAGATTATCGTAGCACCTGTGTACCATGGGAACGGTGTCAGAATTTTCAAGACTATCTTCCTATTCAGGTATTAGTTTTAATGGTTTAATGATTTGTTATACTGTTGTGTATTATTGTAATAAAACTTTAACTTTTGGGAAATACTGAAAGAAATAATTTCTTCTGAGTTTTGTAATAATGGGACTGCCTTAATAATTCCTTTTAATCTCATTATGCATTTTTAAATCAAACTGTTTATCTAAAAGTTATCAACTATAATGTAATTACTACTTATATGGGATGTTATTGAAAAGATGAATGTACAGTATATAGAATATAAAACACATTTTGTAATTGAATTTATTTGACTAAAAAAAAAGCTTAGAAAAATTTGAATTTATGATAGGTTAGTTTGAAATTTGGTTAAAAGTGCATTAGATTTATCTCTAATGGAAAACAATGTGTGTCACAAGTTTTGAGTATGTCGTTTCAAAATGTCTGCTATAAATGCATTAGAACACAGGATGGTCATTGTATACTATTTGAAAATAATCAGAATATATCTAAAAAGATTGTTGAAGTTCTGAAAAAGTTAAAGTAACTAAGAGAACTGTTTACCAGATCTGTAGATTACTTCAGAGTAAACAATCTATTGATTGAAAAAAAAAGAAGTGGTTATTCACGATCAGAATTACAAGACAACATTCCAGAAAGTTTGAAAAAATTGAATCAAAAACCATGTTCTCAGTGCAAAGTTGCAACCAAATTTAGAATTTCAGAGACTTACATATTGAATAAATATGATTTAAAATAATATTTAAAAAATTGCTCTGAAAACTTTGCCAGAACAATTTGAACACATCAAAATTGAATTCCAAGCACTAAATGAGAATCACATTAACTAAAGAAACTACTAACACACTAGAGAAATAGGACATAAATTTCAACAGAAAATACAAAAATCCACCAAATGTACTCCAGTTTCAAACTATTGAGCATTTCTGGACATTTTTAAAATTGAAAGTTTACAAAAAAAACTTCAGTGATTATTACACTTTTAAAATCAAGAGTTTCTTTGAATGACTGTGATTTGCAAGGATGAAAGAACTAATTAAAATCTGCTTATAAAATATAACACTGATATTTATGATGTATTAATATATTAATGTAAAAGATATCATTTACTACATAAGTGTATATGCTAAGATAACTATAGAAACTACAAAATATTACAAAATGTGATCTAAGAGTTGACAACATGAATTGCATTTGAAAACATTTAAAATAATGGAATTAAAAATAATTTCTCTTTGTTTATTATTTTTATTAACCTTTGTGACTACACAAACTTTATCTTCATGAATACAAAAAATTGATAGTAAATTATATTAATAATAATAATTTTACTGAAAAGGATTGGGGAAAGCCTGGAGACATCAATAATTTAGGAATACAATGGCATATTCCAACCAAGGAAGAAATTGAATTTGTGCATCATTTACTTGAAACTTTTCTGAATTCTGAATTAACAAAATTATTAGAATGGAGTAGAAGTAAAATTACTTTAACAAGGTATTGATTATATTCATTTAATTTTTAAATGTTATTAAATAATACTTTTTAAATCCTTTTTCTTTTCTCTTTTTTTTTTTTTTTAAATTAAGAGATGAATTACAATGTAGTCTAAATTTAGTACTTGAAGGTCTACTTGGGGCAGGATTTGTTCTTCCAATATGGAAAGGAGAATCATTTAATGCGTAAGTTCTGTAGATATTAAAATTTATAATATTAAATTAAATTTATAAAAAATGTATCTGAATATATTTATTACAATATAAAATTTTGATTTGCAGAACTGAATCATCTGTACCACTGTATTGTACAAGAGTAACAAAAGATGGAAGCACAGGTAAACTATATTTTTACATGCTTAATTTGCAAATAATTTTTATGCTTTATAAAAATTAATCAAATTTATTTGATAGAAATTCACTTCAAGGATGGTAGGAATGTTCGACAGACAGTTGCTGAAATTATTCAAGAGGTTTTAAGTAAGATAAATATATCCATATAAATTTATTAATGATAAATCTCTTATTTTGTTTGTCTATAAAAGGGCTTCTTAAACTTTTTTTATTCATGACCCCATTTATGATTGTGATTTTTTTCGCGACCCACAAAAAAATATAANATATATATAAAATAAAGATATATACAAATTTGCAAAACCAATAATTGTGTACTACCACAGTTCACTCTTGCATTACAATGGAACAGAGACAACTGAATACACTGAAAAGCAACAACACTACACTAGTTCACACTGCAATCAGTGTTGCTGAATCATTGTCTCGCTGCACCAGAAGTGACACGAAGTGCAACTCACGAAATCTATGATACAAAGCATGCCATTTTCAAATTCTCACAAATTATTTTCAAAATTTTGCATTAAAATCTCGTGACCCCAAGATTTTGCTAAGCGACCCCAAATGGGGTCGCGACCCACAGTTTAAGAAGCCCTGGTCTATAATATATTGTTATTGTGTAAAGATTAAAAGATTATAATTTTTGTATTTAATATTTATATAATTTTAGGTCATGTGATGGAATCATTTGAAGATGATACAAAGTCATTATTTTTAATTATCAGGGTAAGTATACATGTATATATGGGGGTGGGTGGGTATGTGTTTGTATATATATATATTTTTAATTTTAATAATACATTAATTTAGATATATCGAACCTTAATGTTTTATTGGGGTGCTACTAAGGAAGAATTTGATTCAAGATGGAAAGGCTTCCACGTTGTTAAAAAAAGTCTTGAAAACAAGGTTAGTTGTTTTTATTAATAATTAATACCATAATAAAAATTATGATTTAAATCCAGGTTTATTATGAAAAGAAATTTCCTTACTGGTAGAAATAATTCAAAGCTAGAAACATCAGTTTTCAAAATTTTATTCAGTAAGCTAAAATAATTGTCCTCATTTAAGGACAATTATTTTGGCTTACTGAATGGCTTGCTGAACTGAATTTGGGCAGATCAGTAAGCCTTGAATGTGAAGTAATGAAGACAGAGAGGATGATAAAAATAAAGTTAATTTAAACATGTAATGTCATATCATTTTGAAGTAAAAATACACAATATATCAGAAAAGTAAAAAATCTTTGACCCAATAAAGAAGAAAATTAGAGACTAATATGAAACACTGAAACATTGAACACAAAGGGTAAGATTACACTTTATGCAGATGGTTCAAGATTTCCTTTACAATCTTTATTTTGGCATCTTTGTCTAATTTTCTTAGAAAATGCTTCATTTTATTGTATGTACGTTTGGCAACAATTGATTTTGGTGGATGTTTTACAGGTGGACATCCTCTTAGTGTTTTCTTATGGCAATTTTCCCTTTACTATTTCAATAATTTTTGATGGACTTTCTTCACACTAGATCCTTTGCTCTTCTGAGAAACTATATTTTGGACATGCTTTCTTTTAAACAGCACTATCTTTTATAGTGTTATGTGTGTCATAATTTACTTGTACCATGTTTCAGCAACTGTTGTTATGTTGTCTTGTCTGGCAATGATTCATCACCAGAATCATCATCTGGTGTAGGGTGAATATCATTTCATTGGTTGCTTTCAATAAATTTTGGAACATCTTTTACATTAGCAACTTCAATGCCTTCATCATTCAAATCATTTTCATCAGAAATATCATCCAAATCAAGCAAATTGCAATAATATCTGATTCAATTTCATTAGAAAAGAGATATTCATAAACTTCCTCCATAGTTTTTGAACGTTAGTTGCTTCATTCTTTAGGAATAAAAAATGAAAGATTAGTGCAGTTTGAGTGAAATTTAAAATATAAAAACTATGAATTCTACATTCAAATTGATATCACAATAATAAAGGATATTTCTAAATAAAAAATAAATGAATTTTGAAGAATCAAATTCTTACTTGCAATGTTTAGCAGAGATGTTTCAAAATATCTTGATCACTCAATATTATAGAAAGTTTGGCACTCATTCAGACACATTATTTAAAACAAACAATATGTATCATTTCCAAGAGGTAGACTACAACTGAAAGAAAGGCATATTTACACCAATAAGAGACAAGCAAGTCATCGTAGTATTTGACATGCTAAAAAGTGACTGTCCTTAAATGAAGACAGTCACTTTATGACTGAGCATGAGGACAGTGGGCACTAATGGATTAAAACTGAAAATTCTAAAAATGTAAATTTTCATAGCATTGGAAAGGTAAAATTCTATCTATATGATTACAAGAAAAGCATTACTGAGAACAATTACATTATAATTAGCAAATTATTTTAAATTATTGTTATAAAAACTTTACATGAGCATAAGAAAATTATCAAAATAACTTTAATATTACATATTCAGTTACATTATTGATGTGTCTCATCTGTTATCAAATGTAATTTAATAAATATGATGTCTAAAAATATAGATGTGAAACTTATGTTTATTATTACTATGTTAAACATTGCTACTAATAATAACATTCTAAATGAATATCAGAAAGATTGTTAGAGATTTACAGAATGACTTTGAATTGTCAAATATCATTTTGCAAGTTTCTGTAAACTTTTAAACAAATATTTATATCACATATACTGACTATAAAAGACATTTTTTACATTATTAGTAATATTTTAAAATTCTATAAAATGTACAGTATCTAATAATTTTTGCTCATCTTAACATGATAAAATTATATATTAATAATATGATTGTGTATAGCAGATATAAATATAAGATATTTTCTGCGAAATTTATTAAAGTTTTTTAGTTTTACTTTGTTTGAATTATCTTTCCAATATATTGAACAATTTAATTCAGTTAAAATAGAACTGTAGTAAATTATCATATCATCTATGTGGATTGCAATAAACTATATAAATCAATATAAATATCTAAAACATGTAAATCAGTTAACAGAAGCATTTTAAAAAAAAATGCATATAGAGTTTGAATTGGATACATTTAAAATGTATAAAAATACAACGTATTGAATTTGACTTTTCAACTCCAAAATAGATTCAGATTTGTCTTCAGATAGGAAGTAAAATCTATAAATATTTTGAGTTTCTACAATCACAGTATACAGTTGACCTCCCCTTCCCATAACACTGTAGATATGTTCCACTTTAAGGATTTCTATGTGAAATTCTTATAAATACACGAGCCAATCACAGCCTGGCATGTGTGCAGTTTACGGACTATGGCTGTTTGAAAGGTTTTCTTCTATAAAATTAATCAATTCTAGACTAATTTGACTCAACATTTCCAAAACACATATAATTTTTTGGGAATAATCCGTATAAACTATGCTATAAACAAAAAATTGTAGGATCACTTACAGAGTGTGCACCGTTCGACGGCGCCGTTGCTTAAGCTTGTTTTCGTCGTGGAGCAGCGCACCAAACGGCAGGCGCGTTTTCTGACAAGTTATTTTTCTGCGAAAAATTTATTGAACTTTGGAAACATCATTAATAGAAATAATTTTTACAGCTGTTGAATAAGAAATGTTTTTTTCACAAGAAATGTATAAAATTACAGTACCTAATTTATATACTGTACAGACGATAGTAAACTCAACTTACCCGCCTAAACTCTCCATAGCGTGTAAGTAGTTCAGCTGCTCATCTGCTATTGGTCCAGATTTGACTAATCCTGTTGCGACATGAGTCGGCGATGACGTTTTACCACATTTTACGAGTCTCTTTTAGTGTCTTTATATGAATACGGTTGCAATTTTTTCCCCGCGATATACGAATCCACATTATATGAACCTGCGTTATAGGGGGGGTCGACTGTACTTAACAACTACTAATTGAAAAAATAGAGAATAAACAGCAATTATTAAAACCTGAAAAAGTGCATCTTATTGTTGAGTAAATATGGTATATCAATCATAGTTTTAGAGAATAAAATATGCAAGCTATTCTTTCCCTAAAAATTATGTTAACAATCATAAAAGCACTAAATCTACCAAAGGTTTTATTAAACTTTAAAAGATAATTTAAATTTCAGTTTTACATAATTATATGAATAATTATTAAATACAGTACAATTAATATTTTGTACTAATGTATGAGAATAGACTTTTTTTTTTTTTAAATTTAGATATTTCATCTGTTTCTGTGATTAGAATATAAATAAACGTAACAAAATATTTTATCTATTTGTCATTAAATCAAAACAACATAACTGAATATAATTAATCTAAATGATCTAAGTGATCCCATAAACTAAGTACAGTTCTTGCTCCTTACAGTTTTATTTTATAGATTGTATTGATAAATATTAAATGTACAGTTTAAATTCACAACAGTAGTAACTAGCATGTAGTGAAAATATATAAAGTATATTTTAAAACCATTCAAATAATAATATATTTGCAGTTAATTGGATATAAACGACATGTAAGGACATTGCTCATTGATCGTACATTACTTCAGCATGAGGTAAATAACTTTTCACTTCTATCATTGAAAGAGCAGAATTTTTAAAATAAATTACTATTTAATATTATTTTCGTTAGCTTCGTATTTTGGAAAAAAACAAAACAATCTTCACAAGATTACATCAAAAATTAATTTTTGATTTGTTAGGTCTCTCAACTAGTCATTATAGTAAAGTAAGAGAATTTTTTAAATTTATTTTGTTATACATTGCTTTAAATCTATTTACAACCTGAGATTTTAAATTGTTATTTTAGATTCGAGCAAAAGCACAAGAAGCTTTTCATTTGTGTCTGAGATCTTATCCTCATTGCTATCATGTTTTTCTTGAGAAAATTTTAAGCTTCATTCGCAAAGAAACAAATGCATCACATGAACAGTTCAAGGTAAAATGTTGAAATAAAATTGAAATTACGTGATTTATTGTTGTTGAAGATGAGTTCAAAATGGCTAATTTTTATATCATTTTTAGGGTGCTTTATATATATTACTTGGAATAAAGCAACAATCCTTACTGAGAGTTCACAATTGGGAAATTTTGAAAGATATCTGGCCAACAATTATCAATGCACCTCATTCGGAGAAACCTTCCATTATTAAACTTTTAGAACACATATCTTCTACAGTATTAAAATATTCAGATACAATCCAGATTGAATTTCAGGTAACTTTTATTTATTTTATCAAATTTTTTTATTGTAGGAATATATAAACATAACCTTATTGTATGTTAGGTAACTGATGATGTACTTAATGAAGCAAAATTGCTTTGGTCAAATGAGATACCTCTGCTATTAGAACCATGTCCTTCACCTACCAGAATAGAGGAAGCAAAAGCTGCTCTTCTGTTGAAAAATCAGAAGAATATAAAGTAAATTATATTGATGACTGTTGTTTGCATTGAGTTTTTTGTTAAGTAAGATTTATATAATTTTGTTTTTCTTACAGTAATTATAATGCATTAGTACATAAACTAGTGGATTTAATTCAGAATGGCAACCTGTGAGTATTTTTAAAAGATTTTTTATTTAATTATTAATGTGAAAATAAAAAATGTTTTCTCAATGTTCAATTACATTAATGACTAATTATATAATCAGTTGTTTATTATATCAATATATACTCTAATATATTTCTTTTTACTTTTAGACATTGGCGGTATTATCACATGGGCCTTATGTTTCTGAATCTCCTGATACATTATAAAATTGAATTACCAGCACCAGCTGTTAAAATGTTTGTTCAGCATTTAATTCATGATACTCTGAATGTCAGACAAGTAAGTCCTATTTGATGATTTGTACTAATATTGTAATTTGAAATTAAAAGGGAACATTTTTAAATATAAATATTATTTATTTCTAAAATCAGTTGGAATAGTTTTTCTTGAAAAATTTTATTTAACATCGACGAAAAAAATTTTTTTTTTTGAAAGAAGTTTATTTTTTCAGAAGATACCAGACAAAATATTTACCAAATGAAAAAAGTTTAGTTTATAGAAATACGTAGTATTAATTTTCAAAAATTCTTATAGTAATTATAATTGATAATAAAATCTAGAAATTAATTCTTATAAAAATTAAGAAAATTCACATCTATTTAACTTGTCTATGAAGATATTTTCCATAGTTTTCTATTGAATAATTAATGAATATTATTGATACAATAGCTTTATAACAATTTTAACAAAGTTCGTTCTCTGTCTGGTTCAAATTTTGTTTTCTTTCTAAAATTATTTTATTTGCTCTTCATTTGTTGAAATTTTTTGTAAGTAAAATTTTAATTTTAAGTAAATTATATAGTTTCTCCTTAGACATGATCTAGGTATTGCATGATTTTCGTGGGTATTTGGCCTTATTTTGTAAGAAACTTGACTGCTTGATACTCTAATTTAAAATTTGTGACCTTGTCATATACAGAAGTCTACTATAAATTACCTTTTAGCCACTAAATTTGCATGAAACATTAATAAAACATTAATCTTTTATATACTCGACAGTCTTTGTCATCTTCATGTCTTTCAGTCATGCACATTAGGTTAGGTTGGAAACTTATAATTCTTCCCTTATATATTATATATACTACTAGCTTACCCGTCGCACATTGCTACGATCTCAGAAGAAACGAAATTCAAGCAAACTCATTATGATAAAATTAAATTTACATTTTATCATTTTTATTGAAACTTATTATTATATTACTATTATTATTCATTTTAATTGGGAAAATATTTCAAAGTGTCATTTCAATTCTATTTATTTATTGGAGTGCTTGTGGATACACGATATTTTTTGTTTTTCCGTCTGATGTGTACACGAATAAATCAGAAGGTTTTCCGATGTGTGAACAGGCCACATACAGTTGTACTGTACATGTGAGAAGCACGGATTCTTTAAATTTAGCCCATATACTCGCAGAGATTGTTAGAAGTGCCATATTCCTCATTTTTATATATTTTTTAATCCTTTATAATTTTGATTATTTAATTGCTCCTTCCTCTCTTCCTTGGCACATTGTGAAATTTCTGATAGTTGGATAATAAACCGTTTTATTGTAATTTGTCTTTTTAAATTATTTTGAGTCTATATTAAAATTTGGGAAAGGGGGATCCTAGATTGGTAAAATAGGCGAATTTCCTCCTACATCTTCGGTTGTTGTTCGGAATACAGTTAAGGTTTTAACAAAGTTCGAGCGAATACATAATTAGCAAAAAATAGTTGAAATAAAGTGATTAAACAAAAATTATTACAAATATCGTAAATAACAGTTCACAAATGCATATATACAGATATTTTTTGAAGGGGGAGAAATGGTCTTCACAATTTGAAATCGATCTAACACACAGTGCTTGAATGCTCATGTAAACGTGCGCCATATATCGTAGGATAAATGTACTTTGCGGGAGTGTATTAAAAAACTTTCCAAAAGTTTCATGGCAATCGTACTATGCCACAAACCTTTGCCGGAGTATATTAAACAACTTCCCAAAGTTTCACGGCAGTCAGATAAACGGTGTAGTAATGCATGAAGGACAGACAGACACACAGACATACATTCATTTTTATATATATATAGATTACTAACTAAAATTTTTTAAAATTTTTAGATTGCCATTAGTGCAATGTGTGCAATTTTAAAACAACAAAAGATCCTTCGTAAAACTAAAGAAGTGGATCCTCTTTCTGTGGATGTTTCGGCTGTGCCATTACACAGTCTACTTCCAAAAGATGTCATTTGTAACAACTTATGGTTACAGTACAATAGTTTAACTTCTCCTAGGACTAAACAGAAATGGGAAAACAGTGTATTTGTACATAAAACTTATATTGGATTCTATGCATGGCCAAAGTAAATAATGATTTTTGTTTTATTAAAATTGTGCTGATAATTGGAATTATTAAATATGTTTAACAACTTTCCAGACCATTGCTAGTATATTCACCTGATTCGGAACAACCAATATTGGATCGTAAAAGAGAGGATTTGTCTGAGGTATAAAATAAATTTAAAATGACTCTTTAGAAATATTCAAACTCTTTTTAATATAATGCTTTTTAAAATTACTTTCAGGTAGAAAAACCTATATATGATGCATTCACACAACAAGAATTTGTTGATAAGTTAATAACTTATTTATCAATAGAAGAAACCAAAGGACATGACAAATTTGATTGCCAGAGGTTTTACATGTTTAAGGTAAAGAATGTGGTTCATTTCAGCATTTGAAATTTTGAATATATATATAAAAATTTTTAAAATATTTCAGGGATTGTTTCGTAATTTTGGAGATACATTTTTGCCCTATTTTAAAAGCCACTTAGAGAAACAAGTTGTAGATTTACAGGAAAGTGTGCAACGATGTGCTGCTGAAATTATTGCAGGACTCCTTAAGGGCAGCAAACACTGGGATTTTGAAAAGGTAATAATTTTATTGTAAAAATTAAATTAAAATTGCATTTAAAATTAATTTTGATTCTTTTTTTAATTATATTTTAGACAAGCACTCTTGAAAAGACATTAACACCTATTTTGCGATTAGCACTGAATAATATTACTCCAGAGACTGTGACGGATTGGGGAACTTGTTTTGCAACATCATCTGTAAGTGTCAAGATTTGGTTATTGCTATTGTGATAAAACCATTTGTGGCATCTGTCAGTGGAAGTGACAGGTCTGTTAAATGACAATACAGTATTGTAGATTTACAAAGTAAGGTTTTGCATTGAAATGGTTACTAGTAAATGTTAGTTTGAAGTGCAGGTGTGTAAATAATTTTTTTGAAACCTGTTCTAATATTATAAAAAAATATCAATGTAAAACCTTGCAACTAGTCTTTCAGAATTTCCTAAATTATGCATTTTATATTTTACTTTTACAAAAGTGATTATTTGTAATTAATTATAGAGATTCTCTTGTTTCATCTTTTAGTGTAACAGAGATCCTAATAAATTGCATTGGTTGTTTGAATTACTGATGGAAGATCGATTAAAAGGTGAAAATGGTTCATTTTTGGAATCAAGGTAAAGTACTTTTTAATATATTGTAAATTTTTATATTGTTTGTTTTGAAAAAAAATATTTATAAACATATAACCAAACTCAAATTCTAATAACCAAGTATGTAAAAGAGACCTTTCCCCCCTACATTTAGGCTAGGCTTTAATCAAAATATTTCAATTCATATTAGTCATATTCCTTGATAAACAAAGCAGATTTATGCTATTTTTATAATTGGTTGTGCAGAGTAATTGGATAACGTAGCATTGAATATTTATTGTAATCTTAACAGCTATATAAATGTAATTACAAAAGTATTTACTGGTAATTTTTTCCTCACATTAAACTGTTTATAATCCTTTAAATGGATATTTGCAGGTACTTGGATAATAGCTTTGTATACAATTATCTCAAATGAGATTCATCAGTACTTCTGATTTGACTATCCTGATTCATTTATATACATGAAGTTTCAAAATTTAAAATAAATTGAGTCAAAGTAAAATAGTGTAGAATAATCTGAATGAACAACTTATTTGTAATAATGAATCTGTACTATCCTTGTTTATTTGATGTAGATAAATTGTTTAATAATGTTTGAATCTATATTTTATTTACTCAAAATAAATAAATTCAATTCTTACAATTAAACCATCATACTGTCATTATAAACTTTTATTAGAATTTGAGAAATAATGATACTTTGTTTCTATAAATACACAAATATATTAATTCAGATAAATACTTAATTATTAAAGTTAAGATTACTAGAAATTGCAGGAAATTTGGAAAGTTTCATATTAATTTTATAACATTTCAATAAGCATTTTAATATTTTGATATATGTGTAATAATTAAATACAGTATAACCTCATTATAATATACCCTCACTGGGAATGGGAAATACATTATATTAAAAAAATCACAATTTTTAAAGCAACAGCACTTTAATTTCTATTAACATAATGCACCATACCATATGCCAATTATTATAATAGATGTATTTCTTATATTATTAAAGTACTTTTACATATTCTTAAAGTAATGATGAATTTTAGTTACTTTGAAACACTATTCCTTCACAAATTAAATAACACACTTTCAATATTTCTCAGATGGTTCATGGTCTTTTTGCTTATGCTGAAGATGCTTACAAACAACTTTACCACTTCAAAACACTCAGTGGCTTGATAAAATTTTGGGATCATACATGAATTATCAGTAACATTTAGTCATCAATTTCAACAGACTCCAGCTGAAGGTTGTTATATTTTTATTTTCTCCCACATTGCCTTGCTTATTAACACGTTTGTGGTCATGATGTCATCATCGACACTAGCATGTTTCAAAGTTTAGGGTAGACTCATTCAACCTTGCCAAATTGTCCTCTGCAATGTTAATTTCATCCCATGTGTTTGTTGTCTGACTGTTCAGATCATGCTGATCAAAAACAGCAGACATTATTGCATTCCAGGCAGACACAAAAAACTGCATTGTTTGCAATAAGTGTAGTTTTAAGTCATTCAACTGTTTCATTTTTATCAGAATTAATGCATTTTGAACAAGCAGATGCCTGTATCTGTGCTTTACAGACCTGATTATTCCCATCTAAAGGCTGCAAGTGGTTGGTGCAATTGGGAGGGAAGAAATACAGTTGTATACTTTGCAAGTCTTCCACTTGTTTTGGATGAAGTGCACAACAATTAAACCACTTTTCTCTAGCTCATCCCATTTTCACATTAAACACACATGCAAAAATTCCATGAAAAGAGCACTTGTTATCCATGATTTCTGGTTGTTGTGGTACTGACAGAGAAGTGTTCTCACTTTGGTAAAGTACCCTGGCTTCTCATACTTCCAATTATGAGCAAAGGTTCACCATCTTCATTTACAACAAACAATAATCATTTGTTCAATCATGACCTGCCTAGGTATCCATAATGAAACATTAATGTATGGTACATACCTTCTGTTTCAAGGAAACCATCCTTTATTTTGATGCTGTTTCAGTCAATATAAGCCAAGCTCAGTTGAAGTACATGTGGGATTTGTTATAGTTGCACAAAATAATTATAAAGATGTTATAAGGTGGTATTACTGTATGCATTTACTTTTAATGAAATTATTAAGAGAATGAATATAATTAGATTATAAATTTAAATGTGACATTCATATGAAGCACACGCTATAAATGCCGTATTTAAAATGCATAATCTAATTATAATTCATTCCTTTAATACTTTTGTTGAAATTAAGTTTACATTTAGATCATTAAACCAACAGAACAATAATAAATGTTAATGTTATTTTTTGTATTACATATATTTTCAGTTGTTTGTATATTTTGTTTGGAGTCTTAAGCCAACAAGAATGGCGATGTTTTGAGCTTCTTCACCGACTTCTAGAGTATCTTAAGCCACATCTGACCCATAGTTATCAAAATGTACGAGAAAAGATTGGCAGGCGAGTTACTTAACAAAAGTGGAATATAGTTAAATATATAATTTTATATATATTCATTCTCTTCAATATAAATTATTTATTTATTTAATTGATACATCTTAATGCATGATGGAATGAAGATTAATCTAATAGCATTATTTTGATTTTTATTATATAAAAATTCATATCTGTTTTAGAGTAAAATCTAATGTGATCTAGTCTGAAAAACAGTAATTTAATGTTAATGTAAAATTATTCATAATAATCACACATTTACTACAGATTGGACAGCTCTGCATTATAATGATTAAAAACAAACTGATTACTATTTTACCTTTTTAAATTTTTATGCTTTTTATTCAAATGAAAATTAAATTTTACTGAACTTTATTCTTTAATATATTGTTGATGTTACTTGTTAATTATTATTTGTCCAGTTAGGTTTTTGTGATTATTAAATTTGTATATAACTGTTATTGCTATATTATGTAGAACATAGGTTCCTTTTTGGCCTACCGCCCCCTTTTCAGAGAAAAAAAAAACAGACTTCCGTTCTTGAAATAAGTAATGTAACCCATAGTTTTTCAACTTTTTTGGACCATAGCCCACTTTCAAACAGTGATTTGATGGTGTCCCTCTTAAATGAAGTATACTATATTATATATTGAAAAATAAGGACAGATTTTTAAATCCTCTTTCAGCTAAATATGATGGGAATGCAACGAAAAACTTCCTTGATACAGCCCATAAAGCTGGATATGATGCTGGAATTAGCCTTGGAAGCCAAGATTCTTGATATCCATTTTTTAATTTCAATTTTAACTCTTCATTTGTTGACAATTCTATCAACTCTTCCTGCAGTGATAATTCTACTGTTTGTAGGTTTGAGGAATGTTCTAGTAGCCAATCTGGAATGATCATGTTTAAGGACATCTGGAAATCTATTTGTAAAGTCTGTGCTTCCAAATGCTGGCAAAATACCAGAATGTTGTCATCACTTGTTTCCACAGAGGAAAGATTTGGAAAGTGATAGAATTGTTTTTGACCCAAATTTTGTTTGTACAAGGCAAGTTTTTACACGAATGCAGAAATAGTTGTCTTTGCTTTGATCAAATTTAAATCATCTCCTTGCAGCTGTAGATTTTTCATTAAATTTATTATATAAATCAGTTAAATAAGCTGTATCATTCTTAAATTTCAATAAATTCTTTCTTAACGACTCATCTGTGTCAACAGTTATAATGGTTTTTTAAAGATTTTATGACCTCTTTGTTTTTGACGGATACCCTTTGATAGCCAACAAACTTCTGTATGCAATAGTAAATGATTGTTTTTGAAAACTTAGATTGTGATGAAAATGACAAAGATTTCAATCATTGAGAGCATTGCTTCTGATCTTGTTAACTGCTTAGTGAGCAATGAAGGCAATCACTAAGGTTTTTTGCAACCAAATGTTGCATTGTGTAATTCACATGCATGGCATTTTGGTACCACCTTTTTCAAATATGAAATAAACCTGCAGTATCGTCCAACCATTGCCGGAGCAGCATCGGTAGCAATGGACACGATATTATCCAGAGAAATTACCTTTTTCTTTAAAATAGTGTTTCAATATGTCAAATATAGAAAAATTAGAAATGGATACTGAAAAAAATATAAGTTGTTTTATGAATATTTTACAACAGAGAATTTTTTGTAAAAATTATTTAAATTACATTACTAATGTTATTTGTTTATTATTCTTTTTAACAACCATATATGTACTTACCTCTGTGGCAAATGGTTATTACAACAAAAATATATTTTTAATAAGTGGTCCACATAAGTCGTCCTTTGAATGTGATCTGTAGATACCACACAGAAATTTTAGATTCACACTTGCTCCGAAGTAACTTCAAAACAATCGCATGTGGATAAAAAGCCTCGTGTATTTATAGTAATGTTTAATGAACCTGTCAAAACATGCATAGATTGGATATTCTGCACGTGTTAATTTTATGACGACTTGTGCAAACTTGTAAATATAAGCTTTGTTGTTGATCAAGCCAGAACACACATACTGGTGCTCTGCAGATGCTGCGACTCATTTATGTACCAGTCAAAAAGTTATTAAAAAGGTATTAGGAACAAAGCTATAACGTACCAATACCTACTTTTAATACAGACCAATCTTCCTTAAGAGTCATTTAGAACTACCAGTATTTGCTGAAATATGTGTTTGATGATTTTTAATATTGATCAAACATTCTTGAGAGTATTGCCCAGGGAGTGGAAGTTGGTCCTGAACGCCTCCCAAATTTTCCTTGAACCAAACAGATCCCTTAGATCCCTTCAATGTCGATGGGTAGTAGCGACCACATTGGGAACCACTGATGTAGAAGTCTATTCACAGAGAATGCTCATTAAATGCTCTCTATTATGCAAAAATATGGATTGTCTCACATCAAAAATATTATTGTAGAAAAAAAAAACAAAAAAATTATTCTTGTCAGAGATATTTTATGATTTATTTTTTGTGCAGCTGTATGATAAACATTTAATCTTTTTGTCAACATATATTGAATAATGATGTATTTCCATATCATCTGGATTCAAGTATTTTTCCAACAGAAATTACTTAAGATATGATATCCTATATGATTAAGTATCTCTGTAGTTAATGTTTTATTACTTATATAAATATTGTATTTTTCACTATGAAATATTCATTATTACTAAATATTTTAAATAATAGAATGTACTGTAATCCAAATTTTTAATAATTCCAGTTTGGTTGGAAACATTTTTATGTACGACTTGGCTTTTCCAAATTCTCCCTGCTTAAAGTTAGCACCACAGAGAGCACCTTTTATCCAAGAAATATTGTCTCAGTTGTCTATACTAAATATTGAAGAAAACATAGATTCTCCTATGGATGAAATTACTCCTTTCTTTAATAATAAAGCTGGGGATATAAAACTATTGGAAGAAAATTGCACTAACCATGTGATGGAATCTGGTGCTTCCAAAGAAAAGAAGAAAGCTATTAATTTATTAAGAACTGGTAAGCAAAATCTTTATTTTAATTATTGAAATTTGAAGTGTTATACATTGCAATAATAAAAAAAAGCCCACTTTCAAACAGTGATTTGATGGTGTCCCTCTTAAATGAAGTATACTATATTATATATTGAAAAACAAAGACAGATTTTTATATCCTCTTTCAGCTAAATATGATGGGAATGCAATGAAAAACTTCCTTGATACAGCCCATAAAGCTGGATATAATGCTGGAAGTAGCCTTGGAAGCCAAAATTCTTGATATCTATTTTTTAATTTCAATTTTAACTCTTCATTTGTTGACAATTCTATCAACTCCTCCTGCAGTGATAATTCTACTGTTTGTAGGTTTGAGAAAGGTTCTAGTAGCCAATCTGGAATGATCATGTTAAGGACATCTGGAAATCTATTTGTAAAGTCTGTGCTTCCAAATGCTGGCAAAATACCAGAATGTTGTCGTCACTTGTTTCCACAGAGGAAATATTTGGAAACTGATAGAATTGTTTTTGACCCAAATTTTGTTTGTACAAGGCAAGTTTTGACACGAATGCAGAAATAGTTGCCTTTGCTTTGATCAAATTCAAATCATCTCCTTGCAGCTGTATATTTTTCATTAAATTTATTATATAAATCAATTAAATAAGCCATATCATTCTTAAATTTCAATAAATTCTTTTTTAACGACTCATCTGTGTCAACAGTTGTAAGGAACCAAAGTCCGAGCGTTATTTTTAGTTTACTTATATTTTGCTTTTATTATATTTGTGTTTGGGGCTTATGTTTAGTTAGGACGAAGGTTTCCTCACCCATCACCCCAGAACGTTCAAAAAGAGAAAATAAGAGTTTAACCAACTCACCGACAACGAAACGAAAGCGCCATAGCTAGCATTCGCACTCACGTGCACGCCCGAGCGGCAGAATTGTAAGTCCGCACTGAAGGGGGGACACCCCAAATAGATTTCCTAGGAACTTGTGTAACCTTCAATTAAACATCCCGATAATTGTTAAAGAAATGTTGTAAAAGGTTAACAAAGTATTGTCGAGGAATGAGCTACCAGATAACGAAGAAAAAACAAGATTGTTACGTGTAGATATGTAAATGAGGGGAGTGTCTCCAGTAGAACTGTGACGTCACCTCAGACTATAAGTACAGTAGTTCAAGCATTTTAANATAAATCATGAGAGCTAATAAAATTTAACATGAAACTTTGTCCAACATCAGTGTGTGCAAGAATTGTACATAGATCCACAACAGTTTTCATTTTGACCTTTTATAAGGTGAGGTAACCATATTTTATGATTAGTTTGTAATTCAAATTATATATATACTTTTTTTTTATAACTGTTTATTTCTAAAGGCACAATACTTCTTACATACACATATCACAGTCTGAAATTATCTCTAATATTATTGTAAAAATATATCTTATCTTTTTTATTGTAAATATAGTTTTTTTTGGGTGCTTTGAAAATCTAATGGATATTTAAAATGGCCACATTGATCATAGTTACGCTTAAGATGCAATGTAGATTTTGATATATTTGTTAAATTATATTGTTATATGACCTGATAAAATGCATGTTTGTATTTTATTGCATTAAAGACAAAAAAATATTTTCTATGATTATTTTCGAATTTATATAAATAAAAAGGGAAATTATTTTAAAATTCTCTTTTTATCCAAATAAAATGTATTATACCAAAATTTATATTCTTGCTTGCTTTAGTTTTGTAGCTGTTGCTTTTCTATACTGTCATATGTATTTTTACTTATGTCCCAAAGTTTACTGGCTAAAAACTCATAATTTACACTCGAAGATAACTGAACTTGCTTGCATTTTTCAAAATGTTTTCCTGATATTTTTTCAACATCTTTTGATACAGCCAAAAATATAGAAGTTTGTGCTCCTTCTTCTGCACTCTGAAATATTAATTAATAAATAAGTTTTAATAATAATAGTAATTTCATAACCTAATTTTACCTTTCCAAAAAGAAAAAATATCATTTTGAATATCATTGCCATTAATCCACCTTTGTTTCTCATTATGCCTGTGTTTACAAGTCCAGGATGAAGAGAATTGACAGTTACACCTATATTAGAAATTTTAAATGTAATATTATATATAACAATTGGATTTAATTTAAAATTATGATAAAAACCTGTTCCCTCCAGCCTTTTGCTCAGTTCTATTGTAAATAAGATATTTGCTAATTTTGAATTATTGTATGCTATAAACGGACGGTAACCGTTTAATAAATTCAAATCTTCAAGATTGATTTTAGCCCATTTGTACATGAGAGAGGAGACGTTAATTATACGACTAGGTGCACTTTGTTTCAAGAGATCTGCAATTTCAAATTTATTAAACTTGTTATCGACAATTATGATGAGAGAGTTTAATTATTATGCCTTTGTGTCCTCTATCTTGTATACTAGTACTTTATCATTTAACAGGACTTATTATACTAAATTTATGGATGCAGAAATTTAGTCTTACAGATCAGAAATAATATTTTTTATTTAGTTCACCTTATACACATACACTTTAAACTTGTGTTTGAGACTTGTTTGTCCCTCATCAGCAGGCATTTCAAAAGACTTTCTACAATTATAAAATTATTTTAATTTGTTAATTGTAGAAAGTCTTTTGAATGCCTGCTGATGAGGGACAAACAAGTCTGAAACACAAGTTTAAAGTGTATGTGTACAAGGTGACCTAAATAAAAAATATTATTTTTGATGTGTAAAAATAATTTCTGCATCCATAAATCCAGTATAATAAGTCCTGTTAATTGATAAAGGACTAGTATACAAGATAAATATTAAATTAAAATAACAAGAAAATTCTTACCTAATAACAATAAAGTTAATACATAATGACCAAAATAATTAGATGCCAAAGTCAACTCTATCCCTTCTTCAGTTAATACATGCTCTGAGGATCCTAAAAATTTTATGTAGGCCTATATAAAATTTGAAATATAAATTTATATTTAAGTAACATAATTGTACCTGCTATCCCAGCATTATTTATAAGAACATCCAATCTTTCTTCTGTTTCTATAATTTTTCTAGCAAACGTTTGAATAGATTTTACAGAACTCAAATCTAAGAGTTTTACGACAACATTAGAATTGCCCGTTGTTGTTATGATCTCGTTAGCAGCTTCTGTTCCTCGCTTTATGCTTCGACAAGCCAAAATAATTTTTGCATTGTGTCTGGCTAGCTCTCGTGCTGTCTCCTTACCAATGCCTATTTATTATAAATATTTTTTTAAATGTATGCAAATCTAAGTTTATTATGTGAAATTTGAACTGACCTGAATTGGCTCCTGTTATTATTACTGTTTTTCCTTTCATTGTTTCTGAACTATAAGATTTTTCAGTTTTAAACCAATCATACATTTTTATGATAATTCCTACTGTTATGGCCCCAGTTGTCAACCAGATGACACACTGTTTCATTTCAGAATAATTCCAGTTATCACTAAGCTATAATGAAAGTAATTAATTCCAATTATTCAAACTTATTGTCTGTACAAATATATATATCATTTCAATATATTCAATGCAGATTTTTCAAATTATTAATTTATTTGTTACAAATGTACTTGTCGACAAAAAAGTTATGTACCAAAGAGGTGTTGAAATACAATGAAACTTTTATTAGGGCAAATATAATGATTGTTGTTATTGTGGTTACAATGTCATAGCAAAGGGACAATTTCCTGTGGAACAACAGTAAAAATTTAAAGAAACCTTTAGTACCTTGTATTCAGACAAGAGAAGGTCCTACATGTAGTTGGGCATGGAAGCATCAAGCCATTTTATGTTATCCTGTGACAGATTTCCCCACGGATGTTGCAACTGCTGCTCCCAGGTCCCTTATACCCATGGGTACACTGACTTTGGCATCTATCCAATTCCACAAATGTTCGATGGATGACAAATCTGGAGACCAGTCAGTCAAAGAAAATTTGGAGACATTCCCAAGAAATCCTAAATGCAAGTGGCCCAAGCATTATCTTTCTGGAAAATGGATGTTTGCAGCTCTAACACAAAAGGAAACTCATCAGGGTACAGGATTTCCTGAATGTACTGCCATGCTGTCTATGCCCCCATTATTACTACTAGGGAAGTGACCGACCATCATACAAGATGGTTCCCCAGCTGTCATACAGCAGTAGAGGCACTGCTGCCGATCAGTTGTCTTCCACATTAGCATGGTGTTCCTTTTTTTCCAATCAGAACCAAGATTTGTTGCTATATTGCTGGTGCACAAGAACAGTGACACAACAACCAATTTTGAGTTTATTGTAGAAATATATAGCAAACTCCCCATATGTCATTCTTCCACATAAAAATGGGGAGTTTGCTACACATTTCTACAATAAACTCGAAATTGAAAATTTTTAAGTTGTGTCACTATTCTTGTGCACCAACGATATATGATATGCTGCCTTAGCAGTTCATGCATCTGTCACAGCATCTCTACAAAGAAACTATTGCAATTATTCATGTTTTGTCATGAGCAGGTGATCCTCTCTCCTGGTAGTTTCTGTCTGGGGTATCCAGAGCTTGCTTGCCGTGTGTTCTCAGAACCTCACAGTTTGCTCAATTTGCACAATTGCCACCAACACCTCCTCACAGTTAGGTCAGAACGACCGAGATGTTGGGCAGTTTCTTCAGCTCGACGATGTAGCATTTCTGAAACTGTACAGGCATGCTTGGCATTTGAAGATCTCCACACAAGTACCCTGAAAATTTGAACAGTGAGCCTTTGCAAGTCTTGTAGGTATTTGGTGATAGTGATTTTAAAGCACTCTGGTAACATTACTTGGCCTGCAATCAGATCATAACAAATCATTACATACCTGTGTAAGACATGGATATATGTCAAGTTTTGTGGTAATTGGACAATTCTATTTGGGCATAAATTGCCAATGAATATATAAGGAAATTTATTAAATACTTGGAAACTGAGTGGTAAATTATTATTAAACATAAAAAACTATAAGCTACATTAACAGTGAAAAACAAAATATCTGTCTCTTTCAAAAATAATTTTTTTTAAAGTAATGAAGCATTGAATATAAAATCACTAAACAAAAACTTATTACCTTTTTTTAGAATATTTAATCAATACAAAGATAACTTATACTGTATAACGTTAATAATCTATTGCATCTGAATTACTGTTTCAATTTATTTTATATCTTATCTTATTTTAAAAATTTACTTCTAATCTTATCATTATCAGAATTAATTGTTTGAAGTTATCACAGTTAAATTATATTCCAATTATTATTAATTTTAAACTTTCATCAATGAAAGTATCATTATAAAAGTATGAAGTATTAATGCGTTTGAATACCTGATTAGAAATATTTAGGTCAATTCCTCAATTGATCAGTTTACTCAAAAATCAGCCAGATTTCAACAATAAACTTACTATTTCTATTGTTTTACCCCTCGCATCCAATATTACCTGGTATCTTTACGAATGAAATTTAACTTACCTGTACGTGTTCGTTATCGGGAGCCATAATAGAATTCTTCTCGATTTTACTGTTACCCGATTGGTAGACGCTTTGCGGATCGATAATTATGGTAGACGATATAAGATAATCGAGTTGAGCAGAATTTCGACGAATTCTATCAATTATAAATCGAATTTCTATGCAGTTGGTATAACTAACAACAATGTTGATAGAGAATTATTATTTTTGGACGTTAATAGCTTAACACCCCCCCAAAAAAAACAGATCAGAAAGACTAGATTATTTGGCCTTCTGCTAACATTACTATAAACCTACAACTAAAACACGCAAACCTCGTTGATCAGGGTTGGTTTGGATGGTCTTTCCTTTTAAATTTTTTACACATTTTGTAGAAAATTGTTTTGCGACGTTTGTGAGATCATTCAAACGTTATTGCTACATGGATAAACCAGCAACGAGTTGTTCGACTTTCCCGACAACATTTAAAATTTTGGTAGCACTATCTGTTACGATAGTTAAAATTTAAGTTCAAAGCCCTTCAGTACTTAGATTATAGAGCCCGACAGTGGCCAAGTGGTCTTCGTACCCTGAACACTGGGACCTCGGACGGGCTGGCAACGTGGCGTTTTCCGGGTTTTCTCCACGTCTGTAACGCCTAAATNACAGTTTTAAAGATGTTTTTTGAATGACCTTAAAAATGCCCTTCCAGGTCAACTTAATGGTTACCATTGGATTAGACACACATCATAACATATTCCCATAGTTCAAAGCCCTTCAGTACTTAGATTATAGAGCCCGACAGTGGCCAAGTGGTCTTCGTACCCTGAACACTGGGAGCTCGGACGGGCTGGCAACGTGGCGTTTTCCGGGTTTTCTCCACGTCTGTAACGCCTAAATAGGGGCCAGTTTCCCTTAAAAAGACTTCACCTAGTCGCACAAGTGTTGTGTTACTTTAAAAACAAACTAAGATTTCACAAAGAAAGGTCTGTACATTTTTTACTGAAATGTCAGAAGTTTAAATAATAAATTTTCAGAAATTGCGGACATTATACAACAATATAATTGCAATTTCGGCATACTAGCAATGACCAAAACATGAACTAATGAACGTAACCTTCCACGATTACCAAAGATGATAAATCGAAAGATCACCAAATGAACACGTTGGTTCTTGTCTTGTACTGTATATGAACTAATATCAGATATAACTTTTACGGAAAACTATATAGATATTTTAACGATAACCTTTAACAAATATATGTTGGTGACTCTATACCAGTGGCCAACCTGCGGCTCGCGAGCCACATGCGGCTCTTTGAAGGATTATTTGTGGCTCTCGATAAATGTACCCGAGTTCCCTTTTCATTTTTATGTTATTATATTTTAAAAAATTATCGTTTGTATGTGTTTCAAAATGTCTTTTAAATTACTAACAACAAATATGAAAGACTAAGTGCAACGTTGTAACAAATTTCATTACCGTCCAAGTTAAGAATGATATGACTCATCGAAAACTGCGCGAACGAACATAAACAGTGGCGTAATCGTCCGTTATCGACCGACTTCAGACCAATTTTGAATTTGTAAACTCTCATTGCAATGGACAGTTGACATTGTGTTCTGTAGGAAACAATTTGTATCACTCTTGCTACGGATATAATTTGTAATCTGGAATTTTTGCATACCTTTTTAATACGTATTTAATTGCGGCTCGCGAAAAATTTCAAATTTTGAAAAATGGCTCGGACTATCAAGGATCTTGGCCACCCTGGCTCTATACCGTTCTCCAGCAATAAATTCCAATAGCCTTTTTGACCTTTCTCAAACAGTGATCTCATATAAAACCAACAGCAAATATAGAAATCATAAATTGTTAATAATTGGAGATCTTAATATTGATTTACTCAAAGATGATTTGATTAGTAGCAGTGACTTAATTAACTTTTGATGAACAGAAAACCTTACCATTTTAGCAGACTTGTTACAGCCTACTAGGTACGACATCAAACTCACTCGTTATTAGACATAGGTCTAACTAACGTAAGTGAAGCTAAATTTTTGATCCATCAATACTTAGTCTCAGACCATCTTCCTTTACTTGTCTTTATTCCCGATAAAGACGGAAAAATAAATCGACGTAAAATAAACAACTCATCGATCGAATTACTACGAAATGCTCTTTCCTGTTTCTCCTGGAATTATTACACAAGAGACCTTTCCGTGGATGAACTAGCAGATTATTTGCTATCCATGTTATTAATATTCACTGATTAATACCTTCCAGTAAAACATTTTGAAATAAATAATATGTTTAAAAGGAAAACTTTCTTAAAGAGAATCATAACCAATGAAACTCTCGAGAAAATTAAACAAAAAATTCCTATTTAAAGAGTTAAAAAAAAGGTTACCTTCTGAACAACGAATTAATATATTATCAGAAATCAAAAATTTATCTAAAGAAATAAGAATCAACATTCATACAGAAAAATCAAGTTATTATAATAACTAGTGTTGTAACGAATAGTATATATATTCGGCCTCAGGCCGAATATATATACTATTCGCCGCAACCTCTCTAATGTCACTATCAATCCGTAAATATCATGTAAAAGTATCAATAAATAACGCGTGCTCAAACGGTATTCGTTACAACACTAGTTATTATAATAACTAGTGTTGTAACGAATAGTATATATATTCGGCCTCAGGCCGAATACCGAATATTCGGCCAGGAGCGTGGCCGAATAGCCGAATATTCGGCCAAACTATTCGGCTTGATTAACGCACGTACGAAAATTGGCGCGCAAACCTCATTATGGCAAGGACCCCGCTTTCTATTGGCCCCCCGCTGTCATTACGCTTCGCTAATAGCGTTAATTCTTAACAGTTGGCAGACAATAGCGTCATGGTAGTATGCGATAAATGATGATATCAAATGTGAATAACAACGAAATGACCTACACGTGTAAATAACGGAAAAAGAACAGAGAAGGACCGCGAAGTGAAAATGTGAAAATAAATATGAAATTGAGTTGATNTGGATTCATGCTCGACATTCCAAACACCATTGCCAAACTACTAGGCCTTTAGGAAAGCAGCGATGAGCGCCCGACATACACGTTTTCGCGTTGAAAACGTCGGCCGCAACCTCTCTAATGTCACTATCAATCCGTAAATATCATGTAAAAGTATCAATAAATAACGCGTGCTCAAACGGCTTTTTACCTAAAACCGGAATCCCCCAGGGATCAATACTTGCACCGTTGTTCTTCAATATTTATCAGATGACCTATTTGAAGCGATACCAGAAGTTATTATTATTGCATATGCACACAACATTGTTTTAATACATTCCAATAATAACCTCCAAGCAGCGCAACACGAATTAACACCTTAAATAATGTCCTTTGCAGATTAATTGATTATATGAGCTTAAATATGTTAAAATTAAACACAAATAAAACGAAATATCTCTGCCTTGTAAATAAAAATGTCGATATGGAACAACTTCAAATTGAAATAAATGAAAAGAAGAGAAAATAAACAATATATCTCGGCATATATCGGATAGACGATAAACTCAGATATGATAGACACATCTAAAATTTAACTAAGACTGTCGCTAAGTTTACTGGAATAACTAAGAAAATACAGGAAAACGACCATATCAGACCCGCATTGAATCAAAAATCCAATACGGCACAATCATATGGGGAATCACATCCGATTATATTGTAAACCCGTTTACAAATATAACAAAATCGTCTAATTAGAGCCATATTTAAACTGAATCGTTACAAACCAATCTCCTACTATTACCAATGAGAAAAAATAGATAACATAAAGACATTATATGCAAAACAAACCATACTTTTTTTTTACATTTAAAAAGCTTAAAACGAACAACAGTTATCTTCTAGACATAATAGAAAATCGCCGCAGGAAGGAAAACTATAGCCATCGACTAAACAATAACTATTTAACATGGGTTTCAACTCACCTGTACGTCATATCATGTAGACTGCTGTTAGCAATTTGTTGAGATACAGAACGATTTCTGCGTCCATTCCACCAACAAGAACATACCAAATGGTTATTTCATGACAAGGCGATGCAAAATTTGATCTTCTTTGGCAGTTCTACTGTTGCGTCAAGGCACTCATTGCGTTTTTCTAAAGCATTTGCTCACGTACCAACAATCCTAACGTATTGCTTACCATAATTTTGTTTTGAACATAGACACTGTATCTTTGTCCTTCAAAACAGAACAAATTTTATACTGCTATTTGTATGCATATAGGTGACTATGTTATACTAGAAATTCCCCCGTCAAGCACGACAGAATATTTTATGAGAAAGTAGAGATTAAAAAATTGAGGAGAGTAGAAATTCAGAACAGTTGCTAATATTTCTACAAATTATGATTCTTGACAAAGCCATTCTTATTCGATGTTGCTCAAGTCGAACTTCGCGGCTTTCAGGGGTCTCTCTTCCCCTAATTTTTTTTTTTTTTGACAAAATAGTGAGTCTTTTCAATTCGATGTTGATAAAACAACGAATTGTATGTACTGTACCGTATGTTAGTTAAATGAGCGCTAACACTCTAAATCACTTGCTCGTTTTGTCGGCTGGATAGCCAAGCGGTCAAGGTGGTAGCCTATCGCCCTGAGTGATCCGGGTCGATTCCGAAAGGATCGAAAAAATCCCATTTTTCGGGGGTAGTCCGTCCGGACGTGTCGGGCTCCGGGTGGTGAGGAACGGGCACAATGGAGTGTCCGTTCCTCACCACCCGGCCACTCCATTGTGGGCTTGGCCGAACTCATAATGGGCTTAAGAGGCCCATTATGTGCCCACTTAGTACCGACAGGGCAGAGCAGAGTTTAAAAGAGTTAGATCGTCACTTCCGATTGGATAATAGAACGTCACGTGGTCACCATAAAGATTTTTTTACAGAACTGTGTTATAGAAGTGACATAATGCGGCTATCATTTTTTAAAGATTTAATGAAGTTTAAAACACACCATTTTGAAAAATACTTAAAAATGCAACTTAAGGGAAATTTATTCAAGCATGAACGTCACGTGGTCACTGATGTCACTGCAACGTAAGAGCGATCACCGATCCGAAATCGATCAAACGTTTATTCTATAGCTAATATTTCCGTAAAATAAGCAGACTATACATTTTCGTCATAACATAAAACGAATATAACCAAAACTTCATACAGATTGGACAAAAATTGCGAGAGTTATAAGGACAGAACACAGAAGACAGCTTTTATATTATTAATAGCAGAAAACAGAAATGTATGCATGTGCAGCCGAACAACGGCCGAAAGTGCATATGCATACATACAGCACGTAAATTGAACCGAACGTTTCCAGGCATACCTCCAGATACCTGTTATATTGTAGGAATATATACCGAATTTTTCTGTAGAGCAAAGCTCAAATGAATACTTTGTTTGGTCAAATTTTCTTACAAATTGCGAACGATTATGCCTTTTTTACAGTTTACAAGTGTGCATAAGGTGCGGGTACATTTACTGCCATGGGT